AAGAGCAGAGGACATCCCTGCTAGCAGCACTTTACTCCAGGCTGTGCCTCAACCAAAGGTTCATTTCCTAATGGCTTCACTGAGACCTCTGCCAAGTCTAGAAGGTTAGGGACAGATTTACTTGTCCTCTATTCACTATTTTTCACTTTACGTCCTGCAAGTACAGACCATTAAAGAAACTGCAGATCTAAATATTCCCACATGGGGAGCACCAGGAGGGACGCCCCTCAGCTAGTTATTTTTGCTGCATTTGTTAAGACGTAATCTACTCCCTCCTCAGTTATACAATGCTGCCTAGTCTCTTTTGCCCCTGAAGCAGACAAGAGCAGTTAGCCCTGCTCCCGTGCTCTTAGGTACCTCCAAGGCTGCCAGTCAGAGAACTTTTCCACATGAGAGTGGTATTTATTCTAAGCTCATCCTTTGATGAAGCTTCAGTAAAATTGCGGAAATCCATATATCTTAATTACATCCTTTATTTCAATTGCGTTGCAAACACAAGAAAGAAGGAAAGGATACTTGATCTGTTCTTGTTCTAAGGATAGGGACTGCCCTACAGGTGAGAAGTCCAACCAGGTGTCTGGGCTCACGGGCTGAAGGGAGATCAAGAGAGGTGCTCCTCAAAGAAATCGTTTTGCTCAAGGCTTTTGATTCAGCCAGTGGGAGTGGCCCGACACATTGAGGATGGAGAGCTTATCTATGGGTGCCAAGATGGGGGGGCCCTTTCTTAGAAGGTTTCTCTCTTCCCTCCACCTTTTTTGTTCAGTTTTACATGATCAATTCTTTCCTGGGCACTAGCTTGGCTCTCGTATCTATTTTAAAACATTACAATGAAGAGGCAACTCTTGAACATACATGTTAACTTAGATCTCTGCTTTATCATTTTCATAAACTATTTCTATGGCACCTCTCAACTAGAGGTGGAATCGTTACAAAACGTTACAGGTAGAAAAATGAGGATTTCTCAAGTTGGAGAATGCTCCTAAACTGCTTGATCTTCTTGGTCAGATTTTTTCAGAAATGAGCCTCCCAAATTTAGCACTATATTCTGGTATACTCACTTAACAGTGCCAGTCTTCCTTGGAGCAGCAGGGGGTGAGAAAGTAACAAAACCTATTACTTTAGTGTCTTTAAGAGGTAAACGATGGAGGCCGATTTTGCTTTACCAAAAGCAGTATCATCAGAATAGAGGCAAGGGTTCAGCTGGTATAGAATGTAGTGGCCCAAGTGAGACATTTTTCACATTATTATTCCACCTCATTAAGCTGGAGTATGCACTTACGGATGCATTTCTTCATCTTGGTGAAATGTCTTTAATGACGGCTTGTATAATGGAGCAAATTATTCCTACTCAATAAAAAGCAGGAGCGTGGAACTCAAGATGAGTTGCAGAGATCTTGGAAGAGCTGCCCCAACCCCCACGCATTGTCACCCATGGTTCTCATTTCCTTTGGTGAAACACATACTACAACCATGATGTAGTGAAAGAACATGGGTTTTCTGGCCTGGAAGTCCTGAGCTGGCACCCTAAGTCAGTCACTTCCTGGCACTCTAGGTAAATTAATCTCTGCACCTCCGTCTTCCATCTGTTAGACAGTGATCCCACCCACCAACACTTGCAGAACAGTGCCTGTGACTGAATTTATCATCTGTCAGGAGCCTACTGTATTACCTGGCACTTAGGGACAGATTTATGTTGGCAGCCCAGGAACATCATCAATAAAAACACATAAAAGCATTCTATGTGCTAACACTTCTGAATTTAAACTATACTTCATATTCTCTTTGAAAGTTTAACACTACATTCTGAAAAATCTTGGCTCTTGGCGAGCTTACACTCCTGGTTCCTATTCTAACCTTTAAGTCAGTAAATGAAGAACACAAGTTATATAACAAACATTCCCCTCCAGCTTTGGGTTTAACAGTAGGTGAAAACTAATTAGAAAGAATACTTGCCATGACCTGAGCTGAAATCAAGAGTTGGACACTTAACCAACTGAGCCACCCAGGCGCCCCTTAATAAAATTAAAAAAAAATATATAAACACTTGCAGAACGAGAACTCCAACTATGAAAGACAAAATATGTGTATTTACTTGCTTAGATTTGGGAGCCTAATTGCTCACAAAAGGATTCATAGATGTTTCTTTATTGTTAAGCTGCAACATACATGGTTTAATACAACAAAAAAACATTTAATCAAGTGAAAAATAATAAACTGAACAATAAACAAATAAACACTCAAAACAAAATATTTTCCATTGGAAACATGTTAAGATGAATACGGGGTTTCATTACCATCTTACTGCAATTTTTTTATGTGTTACTAGCCTACATACCCCATGTTTTCTGTAATCATGCAGGTGTGAATGGGAGTTTGAATGATTAAATACATGAAAAGTCCGTTTACTGCAGAGAATCATTTCACAAGGCAGCCAAACTGGGTTTAGAGAACAAAATTATTCAAGAAATTCTCCACGTATTTAGGTTCATTTTAGAATCCATGAACCTTAAGCTGTTCCTCCTTGACAATGCCAACCTGCAAAACAAAATTTAACAGAATCACTCTGAGAAATGTATGCTTCACCAAGAAAACATGGAGTGCTGATTATAAAAAGAATCATTGTTAATAGTCTATGGCAACACTGTTACTTGTCATGTTAACTGTTAACACTAAACAATTCCACACACACTTAAATACCTTGACATGCCCCAAAACTCAACTGGCCACGTAGATACAGGAATGATCAGGTCATTCGAATGACAACATAAATGAATAAAGGTTCTACTGACTTCAAAATAAGTACCAACTTTGTATTTCTCTCTCAATTTACCAATTTACCTCATTCATATGATTTTTCTTTTTTTTTTTCCACTAAGGAAGAAATAATTCATGCTGCCCTTGAACACAATTTTGGAAGCAATCTCAAGGTTGTACATAAAGCACCCAAGCACTCACCTCCAAGAGAAACTGGCAAATGTTTTTTCTTTGGTCACCTTGAAGCTGAATAACCTCTCCGTATTCAGGATGTTCAATCACAGTACCATTACAGGCGAATTTCTGGAGAAATATATGTTTAGTTATAACATAACTAAAGTCAGATACAATGAGGTTTTATTTTCACTATAAGACTAATATTGACTATTTCAGTAGACCTGATCATGTTTAAGAAACAGGTTTTGTCTCCTGTAATACCCAACGCTACCAAATTAATTTGCAAATGAATCAGCAGGAAACATAACGGAAATGATTTTACTTGGAACATCAAGAACTGAGTATTTCACATTTTGTTTGAAAGCCATGAAAATATTATTTTAAAATGGGAGACAACACAAATATCTGGGTGTTAAGAGAATGAACACAGCTTTCTTGGGTCCAACAATATTCACCCACACTAATTAAGAGTCAAGTAAAGGTGTCCTATTCAGGAGTGCATCAAATAACTATAGTTTAATCTTTTCTTCCCAACACCTTTACCTTTTTGAAAGCTTTCACAAGTTTCTTTTTGTCATAATCATCTGCAATGCCCTGGACAGTAGTCAGTGTCTTTCTGCCGTTCCGTTGCTGGATTCTTATATGAATGTAATCCTCAGTCCCTGCCGGGAGTAAGTCGTCACCCTTAGTTGCATCAGCAAAGGGGTCTGCAAAGGGATACAAAAAATATTCCAAAGCAGAAAAACATCTTTTAGTAAGTAATTTCTAGATGTAGGGCACACTACAATCTAGACAGTAAAGAAGGTTCTAGTGCCTCTGCTATTTTTGCGGGTGGGGATGGGAGGGGGTAATGGGGGTGGGGTCTTAACAAAACCACCAAGGTACTCTCACAAAAAGAGGAAAAATATAAACAGCTACGTCCACGGACATTGAATAGAAAACGTTGTTACAGGTAGATTGGTATCATTGAACGTAGTCCTCTAATGAGAAAAGCGGTTTTAAAAACCGTAATTTTACAGCTACTATAAAAATGTGCGTCATCTCGATTACATTCTGATGACAACAGAAACATTCAAACGTGTCCACCCCAATCATTTAACCGTAACGGTGCCCTCAACAAGTAAAAAAGAAGAAGATACCTACATATACACATATGCACATATACGTATCTGTCAAGAGGCGTAATTTTACAAATTACTACGCAAACAGAGAAGCTGGACCGCAGCCCTGTGACAGATCAGAGGCCCGGATCCGCTTCTTTAACCAAATGCCCGCAAGAGCTGCTCGGAATCCGCTCCGACCACCAATGGACGCCGATCCCCAGCCCCCGGCCCGGCACCCACTCGCGAGGGGAAGGGCAGGTCCAGGAGCGGCGGGCCGGGCTCGCAAAGGCGGCGGCGGCTGGGGCGAGGCGGGAGCCGGGGCAGGGACCGGGCAGGGGGTTCCGCGGGGAGGGAGCGGGGGCCGCGGCCGTCCTCGGGGAGGGGGTCGCCAGGGGCCCAGTCGCCATTTTCTGGGCGCCGAGACAAAGCCCCACTCGGGGTGCGGGAAAGGCAGCAGGGGGGCCCTCGGGGCTGCGGGCCGGCCAGCGGCCCGGGCGAGAGCGGGTGGGGGCGGCCGGCCGGCCGGGAGGCGCGCGGGGGCAGGGGGCGGCGGCGGCGGTGGCGGCCGGATCTTACCGAAAGATTGGAGGTTCTGGATAGTGGACATGCGATACTAGTGTGAGGCCGGTGAGGGGATAAAATTCCTGCGGGGCCCGCCCGGATCACCGTGTCTGGAGGCTGCAGTGGCGAGAAAACGTAAATAAATAAGGAGACGCTTCGCCCCTGGGTTGGGATTCGGCTGGAGCGGCGGCGGCGGCGGAAGCCGGGAGGAGGCAGGAAGAGGCGAAGGAGGAGGCGGAGGAAGAGGCGGCGGCCACGGAGGCAAAGACGCGAGAGAAGAGGCGGCGCTGTGGCTTCTCCCACAAAATGGCCGATGGAGGCTATTTAGCCGCGCCCGCCGCCCCTCCCTCGTGACCCACCCGCGCCGGGCTTCCTGGGACATGTAGTTTTCTGGGGGCGGCAGAGGCCATCCGACCTGGGCCGGCGGGCTTATGGGACCGCAATTCCCGGCAGGGAGCACGCCCTCCGGCGCCGGTGGCCGGGCGGGGAAGGATTCAGGGGGCTGCGGAGACGTCCGGACAGAGCCAGCGGGTTTTGGGGACTGTGCACTCCCCGCGCTCGGGCGCTCTCCTTGACTCCCTTTCTCTCGCCAAACAGCGGCGGCGCCAAGGGGTCAGTATGGGGGGACATTCTTCGTTAGTCACCGTCGAGGCTTGGGGTAATATAAGTAAAACCAGGGTGCAGAAGCAAAACAAGTACCCTAGCCCTGGCTTTCGACTCGTCAGCTGCCGCTCATCACCTCCTGCATCGCAATACCGTCCCCCCACTCTGACCCCGGCCCCTGGCCCCAGTGGCGCGAGCCACGTTAGTCCCCACGGAGGCTGGAGGTGAGAGAGCCCCTTGACCACCCCCAACCCCCGCCCCGGGTTGGTCTGCCCTCCGATTCCCGAGCGCGGTCGTTCTCAAACTTCAGCGTGCCTCTCCCGGAGGGCTTGATAAAACACGGTTGATGGACCTCAGAGCTTCTGTTTCAGGTCTGCGGTGTGACCCGACAATTGGCAAATCTAACAAGCTGCCAGGAGATGCAGATGCTACTGGTCTGGGAACACACCGCAGAATCACTGCCCAGCTTCACCAGGGCCCGACATCCAGCGGGGGCCGGTATGTGTCATCCGAACATACCAAAAAACCAGCCTGTCAACTTGGACACGGAACCTTGAATAGGGTAGGTGCCAGACATAAATTGAAAGTGAGCTCCGCAAATAGGTTAACTGATACAGAGTCAGGTACCAGGGCTGTAACATCTTATCGAGAGAGCTACACACAGAAAACAAACCTGAGACTTTGGGAGTGGGTTCACCCAGGCAGGTGCTCAATTATCAAACTTGGTTGGCTTTCTGGAAGGAAAGAGAGAGACTAAAATTTAGGGATTCTTAACTTTTTTTTGTGCCATGGCAGTCTTGTGAAACCTATGGACCCCTTCTCAGAATAATGCTTTAAGTGCATAACAAAACATGGAGGATTACAAAGCAAACTACTCATACTGAAATTAAAAACAATACGTTGATAACACAGTATTGTTTCTTTGCTAATGCATTAATTAACAAGATCTAGTAGCAGGTCTAACAAGTACTAGAATTTCAAAAAGGTGATGAAAGATATTTTGAGAGACTTGTGACATCAGAAATGTAATATGAAAATACCTATTCTATTAGTGCAAAGTGGCAGGTTCTTCTAATACCACTGTGGTGTTGCCAGTATTCCTAATGGGGAAATGCTAAATTTTGCTTAGAGGCTAGTGAAAATATTGATGTAATCTTTTTTACTATCCAATTTTTGGGATTCCCCCAACCCTGCAGTTTTATCTATGGACCCGGGGTCTGTAGACCCCAAATTAAGAATACGTGGATTTAATAATCTTTTGTGATTAACAATAATGTTCTTACTGAATGCTTACTATTTGCCTGTTCGACTTACACACAGTATTATTGATCTTCCTAGCCATTCTGTGATATAGTTATAACTCTGTTGAAGATATGTAGAAATGGAGGCTCTCATAGGTTAAATAAATTGCCTTAAAAAATCCAATTCATGGGCACCTGGGTGGCTCAGTTGGTTAAGCGTCTGCCTTTGGCTCAGGTCATGATCTCAGGGTCCTGGGATCGAGTCCCTCATTAGGCTCCCTGCTCAGTGGGGAGTCTGCTTCTCCCTCTGCCTGCCCCTTCCCCCAGCTCATGTGCACGCTCTCTCTCTCTCTCTCAAAAATAAATAAATAAAATCTTTTTAAAAAATCCAATTCATAACTCTCAGGAATTTTACTACATTTTTAATCTTCCAATTTTGATGTAAATGAATAATACTTTTTTTAAACCCAAACTTAGGTGTAAGGTGTTAGAGCTGGTTCCAAAACAAGGAGAATCAAGCATTTTTTGTTGTCCATTTGTTGATCACAGCTACGGTGGTTTCTGTTCTTTGGTCTTACAGCTCTACAAGCATGCTTTAAAGTAATTTTTAACACTACTATAGATGAAATATAGGATAAACAAAATGCATAGCTGTTTCTTACTAGATGTCCATAACCATTTTATATTACATTGTTTTTCAGAAGTAGACAAGGGTGGTCCAGTGAAGAATCAGATAACAAAGATACATACAGAAGTTAAAAAAAAAAAAAATTCAGTATCTTAGGGATTTCATGGTCATTACCCCTGGGAGGAGAATTCCTTTTTACTTCCTAGTGTTGAATCAGAAACCCCTAGAACCTCAGAAATCTTCAATAAAAGCCAACTATATAGGTTAGATACAATTGTGATTGTTATCTTAAAAATTTTTTGGACTCTCTGGTCATTGGTAGCTTTGTTTTTAGACTGACACTGTTCAATACAGGAGCCACTTGCCCCATGTGGCCACTGAGCACTTGCAGTGTGGCTGGTCCACATTAATACAGGTTCTGCATATAAAGTACACACTGGCCTTTCAAAGATTTAAATTGTTTCCATTTTATCTGTTTCTTTTTACTTTTTAACATGTGGCCACTAGAAAATTTAAAATTACATGTGGGCGGCTCACTGTTTCTATTAGACAGGGCTGGTTGAGAGTAAAGGGATTGACCTTATATGCAAAGTTATCAAAAAAGGAATAAACTGAAGCATTTAAAATCTAGTCTTTTTAGTTCTAGTAGTACTAGCCTAGTAGAAGGTGATTATTTCCTGCCTTATTTCAGAAAGGAGCATAGATCACTTGCAGAGAAGAGTAGTATTGACTAAAAGAAGCAGGAAAGAATAGAAAAAAGGTAGAAGAGTTGAAAAATGAAAGCCCCAAAGCTAGAGATAGACCCCAGGTCTGGATCTTAATTTCCTAATGGTTAAGACAAAGAGAAAACCAGCGAGAAAATTCGTATAGCTACAGGATAAAAACATACCAGTTGCGCAGGAGGAATGACTTTGCCTGGCCCTGAGCCACAGGAGCTGTTTTTCTTGGGCCCTCATAAAGGGGACACTGTGATGTAGTGGACAGCATCCCCAGCAGTTTGCCTACCGTGAAGACAATGGTGGGTTTTACGCAGCTGTTTGTTATATCTGCTAGATATGAAAACATGCTCTCTGGTTAGAGCCTTGGGTCCTCATCCATCCGGCTGTGGCGGGCAGGTGAGAATGTGCCCCTCAGATTTCCTGCTTCAGCGAGCATAATTGATCAACAGCCCCAGCCCCTGCAGCGCAGGCCCGTTCTCCAGATGAGGGACTCAACTGATGGGCGACTTTCATCATGGACTCTCCATGGGCCTGGCTGAACTTTCCTAGCCTTGGGCTGAGATCCAAGATTCTTCTTATTCACCCCTTCTTTCCTCTCTCCTTCACAGGGTCACCTCCTCTGACTCCTTCCTCTTTCCCCCACAGGTGTTCCACCACTAAATCTCCTGCACATCTAAACCCATCTTGATGTCTGCCTCTCAAAGGACCCAAACTGATACACCTAACCCCCTGCTGGGTGGGACACAAGGTTCCGCCTCTGCTGTATACTGTTGCACAGAGGCCATAAGAAAGAGCATGAGTTTCAGTCCATCCTTGAGTTTCCAGCTTATGCATGTAGGGTTCCAGCTTGCTTGGATCTTCTCTTCTTTCCCTTACTGTCCCACTGGACTCTTCATCAGATGTGGAGGTATAGTCTTACAGAAGCTGTTTAATGATCCCTCACAATTACATAAGCCAATTCCCTATAATAAATTCCTTTCCGTATATTTGCATGTGTTCCACAGCGAAGCAGAACCAACAAGAGACATATACAGGTACTATCCCCAGCCCTGTGTGGGTATTGTGTACTGTTCCTCTAACCTTTTGGGTGGTTTCCTTACATTCATTAGTATTGTCCTAAATACTGGAGGAGGGCCCAAGAGCTCTTTAGAGATGCCCCTCTCTCTGAAGCTCTTTCCAGTACTCTGTGAACTCTAACTGCCTTGGGCTCTTAACTTTTTCTGCTTAACTTAGGGAGTCTGCTGAGCTCTGCCTGTGTTTTCCTTGAAACTCTTTCAAGGCAGTGAGCTAGGGCGATCGCAGGGCTCACTGCATTTCTTTTCCATTTTCCATCTTTGAGGGATTGCTATCCTTTGATACAGAGTTTCTTGAAAAACTGTTGTTTATACTGTGTCCTGTGTTTTGGTTATTTTAGGTGGAGAGTAAATTCAGTAGATTCATTTTGGTTGACAGCAAAAGTCCAGTACATGTATTTTGAATGAATGAATGAGCTTCTCCTTGGCATCCATCCTGAGATTAAACCCTTTGCTATAAATGTGTCTGACACTTGGATGGTGCAGTGACCTTGCCATATGGAGGTGCTACGGTGGTGTAAATGTATGCATGTACAAATTTTTTATCCACCAATGGTGTAAATTTCTTATAGTACTAAAAACCTGTGCTTCAGAAGACTTTCAGAAATGTATATTTCTATTTATTTTTTATAAGATTTTATTTATTTGAGAGAGAGAGCACAAGCAGGGGGAGGGGCAGAAGGAGAAGCAGGCCCTCTGCTGAGCAGAGAGCCTGACATGGGGCTTGATCCCAGGACCCTGAGATCATGACCTGAGCCGAAGGCAGAAGCTTAACCAACTGAGCCCCCCAGGCGCCCCTGGCTTTTAGAAATTTGTATTTCTAAAAGTGTCATTTTATAGCAGGGAAACTTTGGGTGGGGAAATGAATCAACCTATAAATTATGTTAACTGAATTTCTGTTACATTAGTTTGCCCATCTACCCAATTTTATACTTGAGAACTTGCAAATTTTCTTAGTATATCCAAGTACTGTGTAGGGCATTAAATATACTATGAATATTTGGTAAATATGAGTTGACCCACTTTATGGCTAAAAAGAGGAAACACATTCTGAACTGAGGTGCACAATAAGTGAGCGAAGGGAATTGCTGGTGGTATTTTGTAATCTTCAGCTGTGGGCCAGGAAAAGTGCTAAGCACTTTATATTATTTTATGCTCTTCATAATAAAGTGAAATGGGTTTTATTATCCTATGTTACAGGTGAGGAAACTGAGACTCAAGAAGTTTAAACACACAAAAATGTTTATTACTTCTTCAAGAACGCATAGCCAGTAAGTGGCATAGTCAGAATTTGAACCCAGGTTTGTCTGCCTCCAAATTCCATGCTCTTTCTCCTATATTCTGACTCCTTTATGGAGATTAGGCATACAGTTTGAGCCATACCATGTTTATTAGTATTTTTACAGGGAAAGAATAAGCAAATCTGGCCAATTGAAAACATGCAGAACATGGACCGGTGAAGTACGGTTTCCATGGTTGCTGATAAGTGACCTAAAATCACTCATGAATATAGAAGTCACTAACGCTGGCTTAAAGTGTACACCAAAGCTAATTTTTCATGTTGCCAGGGTTTTCATTGATAACAAATTAGTTATAAAAACCACAGTGTTCTGATTGGAGATAAAAGAATGACTGGATCTTCCCTTCATCATAACCAAGGTAGTATTTCTCAGTTCCTTAACCTTATCCAGCTTCTGAGACAGTCCTGAGCCTCCTTCCTCCGTGAAGAGTACAAGTGAGTCCATTCACCAGGCGATAGTATCAATCATTCAGCCTTTGTTGAGTGTCTGCAATGTGCTTCGTGCCCCTGCCAAGTGCTGTGACAAGAGACCTATGTTTGAATCAATTAGGGAGGAATTCAGTATGTGCTGGAGGTCAAGGGTGGCAAATATAAGCCCACTGATTGTTTTTTAAAAAGTGAATTTGTGTCATATTTTGTATAAAATTTATTCTCTTTGGGAAAGTATAATGAATTTCTAGCTTATCTTTACCAAATTTGGAAACACTGGTAGCAATTGCTCTACCTTAGCTGAGGGACAGTTCTTGAATTTGTCACAATACCTTTTATTTCTTATCGTCCCTTTAACATGGAGGCTGAGTGCCTATTGTCTTTGCCATTATCAGTGGCCCAGAAGACCGCCTGACTCGCTAAATGCTGGTGGCCTTGGTTGGCAGCCTCTTGCTAGAGGCTTAGAGAAGGCATTATAGAGACTTTTAATGCATTTTCTTTAGTTCGAGCTTCCTGAGAATCAAGGGGTGGTGGGGAAGAAATGGGATGTATTTTAAGATGTAGGACTGATTTTGGAAGAGAGTCTATAGTTGCATATCAAAACTAGATGTTGAGAGGGAAGTATCGGACAGAGGAGTATTTCAGGAAAGAAATCTGTAGAAGGTCAGTAGGAAGAAAATCAGTTACTTCAGTTACAAACAGATACATGGAAGTGGGGCGGCGGGGGGAAGAGGGAGGGAAGGAGGCAGGACAGGGAGGAAAAGGCAGGCAGGATGCTCTGTGGAAAGAATTGCATCCATATGACAACAAAAGTGAAAAAAGCCAAGACACAGTGGACACTTAGCCCAAGTAGAGTTTAGGACCTGGTCAAATAGAGGCCCACCTATTGTTCTAAAAAAGGTAAATTAGCTGTCATGTTTCACATGAAAATTCAGATTTCTGTCTGCACTTAAAAAAATCTACATTGACCGCTTATCTTTTTTTTAAATTTTTTATTGTTATGTTAATCACCATACATTACATCATTAGTTTTAGGAGTAGTGTTCCATGATTCATTGTTTATGCATAACACCCAGTGCTCCATGCAGAACGTGCCCTCTTTAATACCCATCACCAGGCTAACCCATCCTCCCACCCCCCTCCCCTCTAGAACCCTCAGTTTGTTTTTCAGAGTCCATCGTCTCTCATGGTTCATCTCCCCCTCTGATTTCCCCCCCTTCATTCTTCCCCTCCTGCTATCTTCTTCTTTTTTTTTTCTTAACATATATTGCATTATTTGTTTCAGAGGTACAGATCTGAGATTCAACAGTCTTGCACAATTCACAGCGCTTACCAGAGCACATAACCTCCCCAGTGTCTATCACCCAGTCACCCCATCCCTCCCACCCCACCCCCCACTCCAGCAACCCTCAGTTTGTTTCCTGAGATTAAGAATTCCTCATATCAGTGAGGTCATATGATACATGCATTGACCGCTTATCTTAAAAGAAAAATCAGTCAAGGCTGATCTGTAGATACTTCACTTCTGATTGCCCAGGCAGTGGGACGATGATGTGAATGGAATTATGATAAAAAAAAAACAATGAGTTAAGAAAATATTTAAAAAAAAAAAAGAGGTAGAGCCATACGTGACCTGGATTGTTTCACCTTAGGGGACATTTTTGGGAAGAGTTAGTGCCAAGTGAAAGGGCAGAGTCATGAAGGAAGGAATTCGTGTCTCGTATTAAAAAGTTAAATTGAACCGTTTTGGCTGGAGAGAGCATCTGGTGGTACTGAATTTTTGGCTCCTCTTCTGAGTTGGGTTAGTCCAGCATACCTAATACATCAGCAGTTGCTGTTCTCTGTGTTGATCTTCTGTGCCCTGGGATTTGTGGCAGAGATTGCGGGTTGCCACTTGATATCCATCCTCTCCTTCTTTCTTAGTAAAACAGAGCTCCAGCTTTATTCTGGGCTGCAATGTGCCTGGCTGGAAGAATGTACTGCGTTTCAGTCTTCCTTGCTGGATGTGGCCAATGCAACATAGGCAGAAATGTTGAGGGGGCTTTCCAAAAGATCACTTAAAGGAAGCCGACTTGGTTCCGGAGTGTCCATTTCCTCCCCTTTCCACTTCCTCCCTGCTGCCTAGGAAGGAGACGGGCTGCTGGAAGTGCCACAGCCATCTTGCGTGATGAGCTGACCTTGCCATATGGATGGACTGCAGCTGGTGGTGCAGAATGATAGAGGGAGCCTGGGGCCACCGGCTGCCCCTCTCTGGTCTTGTTACCTGACGCAAGGAACTCCATGTGCTTAAGCCTCTGCTATTTTGGGTTTTCAGTTAAATGAAGTGGAACCCAGCCTGAAGAGCGTTCGCATGAATGGGAACCCCAGGACTCAGGGAAGCTGGGCACGCACTTTCCTCGTGCCCCTGTCAGTGCTGTCTGTGGCCTGGGTTATGCCTTCGGTGCTGTGATCCAGGAGAGTTGGGCCTGCTACAACGTGGGTGCTAGGAGGATGTGCTAGAAACAAACTGATGGTACCTTGTGTCCCCTCTCCCTTCAGAGGCCACGTGGCAGGGCAGATGTCCATCAACTGCCTTGGGCTGATCACATATTCGCAATAAACAACGGGCACCGGCGGGGCCTATGGAAGTTTTAAAGGGAAGACTTGATCACATTTCGCCTTGTTTACTGTCTGCCTTGTAAACAACACACCTGGACTCTCACCCTGAAACTGGAAGCGGAGTTCCTAAAGTTCAAGTTTAAAAAGTCTGAAATCCAATCAACATTCTTTGGCTTTTTATAATTTGGTTATATATGTTAGAGGGTTGACATCCAGCTGATGTCCACAACTGCATGCATACTTGTTAAATTATTAAACTACTTTCATGCCGGTTGGCAAATAGGTACTGCCCGGCCTTCTCAGCACCTGCTTCTAATTTGGACCTCTTAGACCACTGCCTGAACAAGCAGCTGAAAGGCAGATGCCCGGCAGCAGGGCCTTCCTGGATCTGGTCACGATCCACTTTTAAAATTAGGCGTTTGAGCTCACAGTGTTCATTTTCCCAGCACTGTGTTCATTGCTGCCCAATTTTTGTCAGTGGTTTGACGGAAACGCGGTGGAGGGTGATGTTCTAGATTTTCCAGAGTCCAACCCTGGATCAAATCAGGTCAGCAGAGGAACTGAGAATGTGTATTTCATTTCAGTTTGTTCCTGCCACCTGCCACCCTCTCGAGAACTGGTCTTGCTGAGTTGTGTGTGGGGGTGATGTCATCAGCCTGTGCTGAGAGCCAGGGGAGGAAATGGCAGAAATGACACTCACTGTCATCTGTCTTACAGAATGTTGTCAACCTGTGTTGCTTTGTATCACAGTGTCTATTTAGAAGAATCCTCAGAGACTTGCCTAACTGGTCTTAGAAGCAAAAACAGTTATATTACTCCTGGAAAGCTGTTCTTTTTCATCTGAGAAACCTGTCTGTCAGTGTCCAGTTTTCTCTTCTCCCTGTCTTTGTAAGTGTACTTACAATCATTCTGGAATGAAGCAAAGAAACAAAGGAAGGAAGGAAGGGAGCAAATACTTCAAGTTATGAAAAATCGAAGCAGATAGATGATCAAAGGAACCCAAATACACAGGCATTTTGTGTTTTTTTCCTCAGCGGAATTTCAACATTAACTTATCACAGATTTATACCGAGTAATAATTATGTACTTTGCTTTTCAAAGCTCTGAAGTACAAATAGTAAGTACCTGAAGAGGATATTCTCTTTAAGTGCCAAGTCTACAGACTTCTAAGCCCCTTTTTTTTTTTTTTTTAAGATTTTATTTATTTATTTGACAGAGAGAGAGAGACAGGGAGAGAGGGAACACAAGCAGGGGGAGTGGGAGAGGAAAAAGCAGGCTTCCCACTGAGCAGGAAGCCCAATGCAGGGCTCAATTCCAGGACCCTGGGATCGTGACCTGAGCCAAAGGCAGATACTCAACAACTGAGCCACCCAGGCACCCCCTAACCTCTTCTTACCACCATGTTTTTAGAAATACCCAGCACAGTTAGGGCTTTGTAGAATGATATTTGGACACTTGGCTTTCATTCAAAGGTAGGCACAATAAAAATGTCTTTGTAGGCTTTGTCCCGATTTGCCTTTTGCCAAACAGGGAAAGTCTGTTGTTCATAAGTTCCATAAACATGTAATCTAGGCATACCCAAGCACTGTGTCTTCTGAGATTACGGTTTCTTTTTTCCTTTTGTTAATAAACTGATTCAAGTCTCATCCCACGTAATTGTGGGCCGTCCTGTACCCTACCTACGATTTCCAAGGATTCTCCAGAGGACTGCATTCTTTTGATCCTCTCCTACTTTCAATTCTTACTCTGGTTGAATTCTTTGCCCCAAAGAATTCTTTGCTTCTCCTCCCTTACTTCCCTAAACATTGCTAACACAGGGTTATAGTGCGTAGCACTTTTATGGAAAAATTGGAGAGAACCCAAGAGGCACACAGGCTGGGGATCAACTTCCAAGTTCAGGGTTAGGTATGGTTGCCTCCCCCTGAGACTCCTCCCGCTGTCATGTCACTCTTCCTCTCCCTGTGTTCTGGACAAGGAAACCACTCACCAGGGGAAGATGAACATTTTCTAGTACCTTATCCTGCAGAGCATTTTAACTGCCTCCCTCAGACCCCTGCCTATTTCAGCAGAGAGGCCTTTCTATGCTGGAGTCTCCTATTACATAGTGGCAACAATAGCAAAGAACGGCAATGTTGTATATTATATTTTGCATTAAGTTCTGGAAAAGCAAATTCTTGGGCAGCGTTCTCCCTTCACCAAGCAGGACCCATGTGTTCTGGGGACCTTCTGGTTTGTGGGGAGAAATCTGGAATCTGTAGTATATTAGACACTCTTTCCAGGTATTTTTGGGCTGTTAGTAGGGTAGCTAATCAAAAAAGTCTGGTAAAGATCTATAGCAGTGATAGACATACTATGTTTTGTATTTTACTAAAATACAGAATTTGATAATCTTGCAAATTGGGCTAAGGCCTTTTTTTGATTATTGGCTTACTAATTGGAGTTCCCTGGTATCACATTCTACCTATAATACATTGTTTACAGTGTCCTGTTTTTGTGTATTTATTTATTAAGATCTATTATTTATTTATTTTAGAAAGAGAGATACCGTTGTGGGGGAGGGGCAGAGGGAGAAGTAGTGAGAGTTTTAAGTAGACTCACCACTGAGCAGGGAGCCAGGCGAGGTGAGGCTTAACCTCATGACCCCGACAAGGTCATGAGCCAAAACCAAGAGTCAGACACTTAACTGACTGTGCCACCAAGGCACCCTTGGTTTTGTGTATTTAAAATAAGAGTTTTTTTCAAGCTGTCAATGCAAAATATATCTAGATTTTTATGGCTACTTCCTGCCAATATTTGTTGGCTTTATTTGCACTTTTCTTGACCAAAATTCTCTTAGCAGTTCGCTTTTATCTAATTTTTCCAAAGTAGTCAATATATTTCTCCTAGAAGTGACAACCGTCTTTCTTTTTGCGCTCATTTAATCAGTTTCATTTTACTGGAATTAAATAATTAAAGTAACATAAAATTGCACGCACAGATTTGGGAGCAAACATAACTGACTCCTGGTAAGCATGTGTTTCACGTGGTGGAGGCAAGGTGTGTCAGGGCCAGACTAGGCAGCAGCATCGGGGCAGGGGGACATTCTACAGAAGGAAGGTGGCGATTGGCTTGGAGCGTTGGTTAGTGAGGGTCCATTATGGGAGCTTCTCTCTGAGTAGATTAATATTAATAGCCAAAGGCCCAAGGGCTACTTCTGTCTACCAGGTATATGACTTCATGGATGTAACATCATCTCTCTAAATCTCAATTTCATTTGTAAATTATGGAAGAAAAAAAAGAATGCCAAACCTACCTGCTAGGAAGATCAAATGAAATAATGTATGTAAAGCTCTTTTGAAATAGTAAAATGCTGTAAAAAACAAAAATGTTTTTGTTACTATAGGTTTTTGTTTTTGTTTTTGTTTTTTCATTCATAGTATTTGATAGCTATGGGGAAATATTTGTTTGGACTCTCTCCCACCTTTTCTTTGTTTATGATGATTGATATTCTTGATTTTTAGCTTAACTGGAGCCATATGTGATGTGGAGAGGCTAAGTCCCCTGTAAATTGTTGTCCTGATAATGAGTTGAATTTTCCCAAATATAAATAACAGCCTTTCCGGATTTCCATTTAAGAAATAAGTTTGGTTCCAGTTAGAAACCAAGACATGATGGTTCATCTGGCAATGTTAAGGCCCCCAGACAGAAGCAAGACTTGTTCCCTATACTATACATATATTTCAATGTTTGAAACTTAAGACTCTGATGGTATTATCTAAGCAAACAACCATTCTGGCTAAAAATGTCCAAACCAGAGAGTTTTTATATATATATTATTTCATTAAATGAAGGTAAATAAAGTAGGTGTTATTATCTTATGTTTACATAGCAGGAAGTTAAGGCTACGAGGGGTTAAGAATCTTGCTCACACTCACATAGCATGTAGTAAGTGTTTGGGCTGAGCCTTGAATCCAGGGCTTCCAATCCAAATCTCATGATGTCTTGTATGTAAACTCTCTCATACAGAAATTGGATAAATATACCTAAATGATTCACAGACTGGAGCAAACAAATAATTACAGAGTGTCTGAAAAGTCAAAAAACATAAGGATGAATTAATTTTTAGAAGTATTAATTACATTTTCAAATAATATACTCTTAGGATATTTTTTCAACTCCCAGAAAACATTTCAGGTGAAATACCTCTAAGCCTAAAGCAATAGGTCCAATCTATTTTTTATTCTGAAAAAGTACAGTGAATATACTGTTTATGTTTCTAGACCTTTTGGACACCCTGTTGTGTCCAGGTCAGTTAGAAAAATTAGTAAAAAATCTCAACTTACTATTATGAGTGTCTGATGGTTGTATTAGCAACAAGTGATATAAATGAAATACTTGAAACATTATTAAGTGAGAACGATTTAATTCTTTTCTTTATCACTGAAAATAGTAGAATTCTATTACAGCAGAACTCATTATTATGAATATTTGCATAGGCCAAAAATAAAAGCATGTCTCTAGAAACCTACTTAATCTACAATAGGAACTTGAATGACACAGGTCATTAAAAGTAATCATGATAATACAAAGTTATACAATCTTTAAAAAGAAAGGGATAGTAATTGGCTCAGGGTGGCTAACTCAGCAACTTTACCATCAAAAAGTCCCTGATGATGTCAGACAAGATATATTTTGGGGCAGAATAAGTCTAGCACCGGACAAGAAGGTATACCATCTATGGATTAGACATTTCCTTCCTCTGAAGGAAAAACAGATGGAAATCAATTGATGGAATAAGCTGCATGTTTAAATAGTGGCACTACTGGATTCTCAAAGATCATGGAATACTCTCAAAATTTGGAGATTTTGAACCCAAAGTCTTATATTTAAGTAAAAGAATATGCAAGAAAGAAGGCAAAATAAAGGCCTTTAAAGCATTTTTAAAGCATTCAAGACCTGAGAAAGTTTTCTTCCATAGGCAATATTGATGACACAGTCCAGAAAAATTAAAAGCCCAAAGAAAAGAAAGAAATGGGACAAAAGAAATATAAGTATATAAAGAAACCAATAAAAATTTTGGTTGTGTCTAAATAATATTGGTATGTAATGAGAGTGAAATATTTTATGGGTAATTTCTAGAAGAATAGAAATTTAATGCACTTTTTAATCCAATAAAAGGCAGGAAAAAGGATAAAAGCAAGAAGAAGTCGTGTAGCAAATTAAAAACATTATATTGTAATGAAGTAGAAAGTACATAATTATCAGTAATCACAAAAAACATGAACGTTATATTTTTCAGTTATAATACCTTAATTGAAACCTCTGGTTTCAATTAAATTAAATTAAAAAGGGTTGCAAAGGGGCGCCTGGGTGGCTCAGTGGGTTAAGCTTCCTAATCCTGATTTTGGCTCAGGTCATGATCTCAGGGTTGTGAGACTGAGCCACAAGTTGGGCTCCCCTCTCAGCAGTGCAGAGTCTGCTTGAGATTCTCTCTCTTGTTCTCCTTCTGCCCCTCCTCCCTGCATTCTCTCTCTCCCCTTAAAATAAATTAATACTTTAAAAAAAA